AATACAGTAGAACCTCGAAAACTCGGGCCTAATGTGGACCGAAGGGTGGCCGAGTTTGTGAAAATGCCGGGTTATCGGGAATGGGGTTAAAAAAATAAGTACGAGTGTTTCCTCAGAAAATACTGTACTGTACTTGTATGTATTGTTTAGTTGAGAATATAACAGAGAATAAACTGCCCAAATACCCTTAAACAAAGGAAAAGTATGTCCTTTATGAAGGCATAGAGCCTTTACTACATGAAAATGAAAATTAATGAATACACTGTGTACAGTAATTTACCTGATAAGACAGACCTCAGAAAAATACTTTATGAGAGCTCTTATACTGTTATGAAGCTATCTATAATGAAAATTAATTAACTAAGGATTTTTTTTGCCCTGCCAGGGTGTGGCCGAGTTATCCAGAGTGCCGGGTTATCGAGAGCCGAGTTTTCGAGGTTTTACTGTAATAGATACAAAACAATTTATTTCATATATCATATTTCAAGTTTCAATAATTTGAAATGTTCTGTAAGAATTTAAATTGTTTGTTAGACTTAATTAATTACTTTGTTTTTGTGTAGGTGGATTTCTTGAATTTCAGGCTGCTTATCCTAATTTGTGTGAAGATAAAACTAGAAAATGTGCTCCTTTAACTTCATTATCCCAACCTTGTCTCCCTATAGCAAATCAAGGACCAACTCGAATATTACCTTTTCTTTATCTGGGATCTCAAAATGAAGCATTAAATAAAGAAATATTACAGGTTAGATGCTATTTTTGTAATTACCAATTTATATTAAACATAATCATCTGAATTTACTAATGAGATTTTGCTGATTTATTCTAAATATATATACAATAGTTTTTTGACTACTAATTTTAATCGCTTTGGGTTGCCAATAGCATTATGCAAAGTAAAACCATATTTAGAAGAAGTTCTAGTTTCTTTGACTCTGACAATATACAGACATATTAAAACAATTTAAAATATGATTTGAAGACTTGTGAATTATTAATAATAATTATGATTAATCTGGTATTGTAGTCAGCAAAAGCTAGCATAATGCCAACAGTTTAAACTATTGTATTGTGAGCAAATAATGATTAAAAAAGTTAATGTAATGTATTAGTTAAGACTGATAATATGAAATCATTAGTTCAGGGTTGTCCAACCTTTTTTCCTAATAGGCCAAATTAGAAATTTAGGTATGTTCAGCGGGCCACAAAGGCACTTTATATAAATATATGCGTTTAAAAAGTTCAAAATGTGAATAACAAATATATATTATTACTGTGAGAGTAGCCAAGGACGTAGGTCTTAATCTACGCCACTTACGGGCACTAGTCGGTAAGACCAGCTCTCAGTCGTCCAAAGAACGGCCTTTCCCAGTCGTAGGGAAACGAGTGTGGAGGGCTTTACTGTTTTATTATAATCTAGAGCGGAAGTTGGTGATGGCGAATTCACCTTCTTCCTTCGTCAGGTTCCCGACACCAGTTTGTCAATTTATAGAGGCGCGGACAAACACGCGATAACGATCTGATTCGGAATGAATTGAGGAGACATTCTGTATAATAAACATAAGTATAATTTAATAAAACTAAACAAACGAATACAAAAATTCGATTACAACCATTTAAGCGACAAACTAGAGGCTACGACTAAATCTATGCTAATGCGCGTTCGAGAGAGAGCTCACAAAATGATTCTAAACATACGACCTGTTAGTTGTCGTCTTCGTTTCTGTATAGGTAGAGGACACCTTGTAAATAGAGTTCATATTACTATCGTATGGGAGATCAATTCGTGCACAAAATATAAAAATATCACTTCTTCTAAGTGTAGACTCGGGACTTAGTCTATCGGACTCCGTTATGGGCGTTGGCCATCAGGAGGAAACGTATGTGGAGTCTGGACACTTTCAAATCGGTCGGAGGACTCCTCGAATTCTGACTAATTTCTCCTTTTATCTCAAAATTTCGTCCAATCATCGTTCAGTAACTCTTTCGTGAGAACGGATGAAAGGGGGATGAATGAGGGGTAACCATTTCCCATCTGAGCGAGATTTTTAACGGATAAGGGAAAAACAGCGGATGTTCTCTTCTGTGGAAAGGAAGTGTCATCTGTCATCTATTTTTCCCACGTCTAAACCAATAATTTTCTCACCAAAACGAAGTATTATTTGGTGACATTATTTAAGCATATTTAATAAAAATTATTAAATGAGGCCTAGGGCCTTCCGGATCTCACATTACAAAAAATACTGTATTATTGACAGTAAAAGAAATTATAGTCACACAAAATAAAAATAAATTCAATGAGATTTTTCACATTGCCTTCCTTTTATAATATTGTCAATATCTGCTTTTATGATACTAGTCTTAATTCTAAGAATGTTAGTTAAATGGGAATTACTCAACTTATTTCTTTCAGTAGTTTTGATGCTTTTCATGCATGAAAGAATTGTTCACAACAGTATGTAATACCCCACATGCATAACAGTTCTCTAAATAAAACAATTTTCTATAACACCAATTACATCATTATGACATCAAAGTGTATCCAGTGAAATGAGAATAAGTTTTACGACATATTTTACCAAAATAAATGAAAATATACTTAAAAAATTACTGTGCAATGGGCCGCATAAAAATATTAAGTTGGCTGCAGTGCGGCCTGTGGGCGGCAGGTTGGACTCCCTGCATTAGTTTATCATCAGTTACATAAGCTAATATGAAAAGAAAGCATTAAAAGGGGCCATTCAACCAAAGGTGATGATGATGATAAAACATTTTATAATGAATAACAGCTTGTTTTGGGACCTAATTTTGATGATGACCAAGGATAATGTTGTCAGTTGGTTATAATAAGCAGAGTCTACTATAATTTACTTTCAAGTAATTATATATTTTGCTTTTTAAAAACACAAGAATTTAAAATTAATATGCAATACAGTCGACTTGCCTTAAAAGGAACATCAATAAAACAAATTTTGCCATTGCCCTGGCAATATGCCATTGTCACAATGTTAATTTTCATGCAGTAAAGCAAACAAAAATTTTACCAGAATTTTTAAAATTAAATCAAACTGTAAATTACCATCATAATCCCAAAAAATAATCCTATTTCCAATAATGGTTGCTTTTTACATTTTTTGACATGAATAGTAAAAAGTAGTACTGTAATAAATGTTCCATTCTGAGTAGAATAGATTTTTTTCTCCTAGTAATTAATGATGGGTTTGATATCCGATTGCATACAAAAAGATTGTTAATATCACTCTTCTTTAACAAAATACTGTAAACAGTCCATCCATATACCATTTATCACTTACAAATAAAAAGAATAATAAACTTCCAACTGTAGAGCAATTCAAACATCTGGTTTTAGTGAATCACTCTACTATACTTGGAAAATAGGGGATTAAGGACATTCTTTTAAATTGATGCCATTCAAACTCATGCTTGTTTGCATATTAGGAGTGCATAAAGTGATTTCATAATCATTTACAACATTAATATTTATTTTTTGTAAATAGATTTAATTTTATTTAACTTCATTTAGTAATTAATTCAAAATATTATAATTTAGAGATTTTGATTGCCTAATAAAATAAGTCTTAACCCCCTAAATTATACAGTTTTCAGCTCGACTATGAAAATTGTTACTACAAATTTTCAATAAAGCAAACAAACTAATTTTTCCAAATTCATTTAACATGAGTTGACTTTATATATATTAATTTAAACATATGTATTTGTCTTCAGTCTTTTTGATTTTCTTTATATATACAGTGGAAATCAGTTATTATAATCACAGCTATTATTGATGTAATGTTATTGATTTGTTGTTGTTATCATAATCAGTCAGTCCCCAAACACATTATATAAAATTAGTTTAAAATAATCTGCCTATTGTAATCAAACTTTGGTTATTGTTATCAATTGTGACAATTAGGGACAAATGATAAGAATTCTTACAAAATTTATAATACTGTAAATAGACAGTTAACAAAAACAAGTATTGTAACTTTGCACTTTAGGAACAACATCCCAGTGCTTCACCCATAGACTGCATGTTTATGAGGCGGTGGTGAAACATAGCATCTTCTAGCTGACTTTCATTGTTATGTGAAAACAAACAAATAGACTTTATTATTTCTGAAAAATGACTTTTGTTCCTGTTTTTGTGTGCAAGTACTGTATAGATTCTGCCATTTTAATAGGCCATGTCAAATGCTGATTTATTAATTTTGTACAGTATTATACAGTACTACAATAAAACACAATTCATTTTGTGGAATTCTAAATGTTTTTGTACCATTAATACCATTTAAATTTAACTGGAAAATAAAAAAAAAAAAAAAAAACATGTATTTTGTGAGCTAAAAAATTTTTCTCTGCCGACCAAAATTAGGCAGACATTCGATTAGCGGGACTCTACTGTATATATAAAGCACTACTAATTCAACATTTTTGCTAATATGAACAACTTCATAGAATAAATCAGTTTGTATTAGCAAGAGTTCATTTCTTAGGAGAATTTGTACTAAATGGTGGTTTAACATAAGTATAAATGTAAATAAAAACGTTTTATTCAAAATAATAATTTAATTAAAAATGTAAATTAACAAAATATGTTTATATATATATAAAAGCCAGTTTTATTATCTGTGCTATCATGGTCAAATATAACTTTTTTGTTTTAAAAGCACTTTAAAAAGAAAAATAATTTAAAATTGATGCTGATTTACATTATGTATAAATTAAATTTTATATTTAACAGAATCACAATATAACATATGAACTGAATGTAAGTACAACTTGTCCAAAACCAGATTTTATACAAGATGCTCATTTCATGAGGATTCCAGTCAATGACAATTATAGTGAGAAATTGTTACCTTATTTTCCATTGGCCTTTCAATTCCTAGGTTTGTATACTTTAAAATTATCTTTACCTTAATTTAATTCCACATAATAATGTAAATAATAGTGTATAAATTATAATTGTAATATAATGATAATATAATGGTAATATAATAAAGCATAATATTCATTATAAATATAGAACATATTATTTAAAAAATATTAATAAACAACAATTCTTGCTTACTAGACATTGGTGTAACTAGAAATTTTACTTCCTTTAACAAAATATAATAAAGGGTGAATGCTTGGGGTCTATCTCCATCACATTCATGATGTTATAGGAATTTAAACAAAATTTATAAATTTATAGTACTTTCCAACAATTTTAAATTTTTAGAAAGTATTATAGAGAGGAATATTTAAATTTTTTTTATTGTAAGCAAATTTAATATTGACACAAAAAAGGAAGAAAATTTCAAAGGTAATCTACAAAAAGATTTGTAAACAAAATAAAAATTTTAGTTATAACAAAGTAATGAAAAAAATTACAAATCACATAAATAAAATCACAAAGGAATTACAAAAAATAATCACACCAATCACATAAGATTTACAGCCAATATTTTGGTTAAATAATTTGGATGAATGGATAAATAAAATATTTGACCTAAATTCTACCAAATTAAAATCTCATATTTATCTACCTGCTTTTATTAGCTGCAAAATTTTTAATTGTCTCTGTTATGTCTAATTTTTTTTACTTTTTTCTTTTTCAAATGCAATGAAAGTTAGATAATTTAGATGTGTTTGGTACATTAAATTTCATAAATAATTACAAATATAAACATCTTGACAAAACCCATTACACTAATAAAGCAATAACCACTGCTTTATGACATTGGGCTAAATATCAGCTATAATAATTATAAATTAGTGATAAATTTGACCAAAGAAGGAGGCATTAAGCTCCATCTCATATTAAATTTAATACGAGATGGCACCTAATGCCTCCCTTTTTGGTCAAATTTACAGGGGTTCCTATGCACCTGGAAAGTCAGGGATTTTCATTAGTGTATGGAAAAAGTCATGGAAAGTCAGGAAATTTGTCAAATATTGTCAAAAAGTCAGGGAATTTGTCTGCTTAGCTGCCTTGTTGATTTCATTTGCGGAATATGGCGACCAAGTGTAGTCATCTGCAGGCGGCAAGAAATAATGCCTCAACGTTTATTACGAATATAGCAGAATCCATTTTTCTATCGAAACATTTTTAGTATTAGAGGACACTATTAGATATACAAATCCATTTTTTATCAAATTTTTGTGTCTTTCTTATATGCTTAGCTGCTTACCTTATCTGATATCATCAAAACCATCTTCTAAAAACACTGAAAATTCTGAAAATTTTTCTGGGGACTTAGTGCTAAACCTTGCACAAACACATATAATGAATTAATTTTAATTTTATGGATGAAATAAGTCTTGCACAGTTAATACAAAGGTTTACTTTTACTGACAGTTGCAGGTCACTTTTAAAACCATCATTAATTAATTGTTTATGTGAAGAATTATTATAAAATGCAACACTAAGGAGAGCATTGCAAAACTGTGGGGATCAATCAGCATTTTTAAATTTTAAACGTTTTGAGATTTTAAAAATGCTTTATCATGAATTTGAGAGAATAATCTGCAATACTCTTGATAACGTTACATTAATTATTGTTTACATTCTCAAGTCGAGGTAAGGTGTCAATGAATTGATTTTAATAAATGAGAACAAAGTGCAAAAATTGATAAATAATACCAATAAATTACAAATATTTATCACTTTTTATTTCAATAATTTTTGTTGTGTAACAAAAGATAATTTATAATTTCTTTCCAGTGTATTAAAATTTTTATAAAATTTATTAAGGTATAAATTTATACTTTTGTAATACAGAATTCATTAATTTCCTGCACTTTAATACATAGTTCAATAATTAGTTTAATAGACATAAAGTTGGGTAACAAATATCACTGATTTTGACAAATTTAGGGCTTAAAAACTATTAGCATTGATCATACCTGTAGTAATACTGTAGTATGTTATAGTTTTGAATATCAACTAGGTAGCCTGATTGCTATTTTACATGGATAAAAAACACTTTATTTAAACATTTTTAACTTTTTGTTTAAATTATGTTGCTGTTTAAAAACAGTTGCCCTTTTGTTGAAAAATTGGTTTTAAAATTACATATTGCTAAGTCAAGAGTTCATCTTTTTTAATCAGAACACAGTATTACAGATTTGTATATCAGAGAATACTGTTTGATTTTATGCTTCCTTGTGTTTACTAGATTTACATACAAATAATAATGATAAATGATGATAAAATAAAAAAGCTCATGTTTCATTTGTAAATTGCTTATTTTTTCATTACATTGAAGTTGTGGATCCTATCAAACATGTTTCTACAGGATGCATATACTATACTTTTTTGCACAGTCTTTGGAACATATCAACTGTGCAAAAAGAGGGATAGATGTACTTGATGGTCACAGTAAGTAAAATGCTGTTTTATTATGTCGATATTCCACACCGTAAGAAATGTGGGTCAGGGAAAGTCAGGGAATTCAAAACAGAAATTTGATTACAAACCCTGAATTTATAAGTAATTTCTAATTATTATAGCCAATATTTAGCCTGATGTCATTTGGCAGTGGTTATTGCTTTATCATAAATAATTTTTTAATAATATTTAATTTACTGAATGACCTTTTTCTTGTTGCCACTGTCACCTGCAAAGTTAAATATAAAAGAAATGTAGTGTTACATTTAGGAAATTGCATGATAAAGTATTAAATTTTATTATTAATGATTTGGTAATTCCCTTTATAGGTTTTTGTACATATTTGTTCTTTCATGAAACTATTTCTCACAATTTGTAAAAGTTGAAATAGAAAATTTTTACTTAAGTCTTTTACATAGATTTTTTGTGACACTGTCTCTTCTAATTGTATTAACATTTCATCAGAATTTAAAAAAAAAATTGTTAGCAATTTTTTGAACTATACAAACATCTAAAATTTTGAATGGTATTATTTTTGTTAAATATATATATTGTATAAGTAGTGACATTGGATAACACAGGTCAACACTGGTTTTGGTGCCCAGGTATTTTGAGCTGATTTCATATGAATTTGATGTCCTGAATTCAAATATGTCATTAGTTTTTGCCTAGGAGCTCTAATTTTTAAGATATAGCATTTTAGCGAAATATACGTTTCAATATCTTAAGTTACATCCATGGATCAAGTAAAAAAACTAAATACGGAATTTTTATTATTATATTATGCAAATATTATTCTATACAAAGATAGAGGAAAAAGTCATCAATAAGACTAAACAGTTACACATTGAGGAAGCTTATTTTCCGTGACTTTCGTGAATGTATTTTGGAGCAATCCCTTTTTTAAACTCCAGCAGTAATCTGCCATCATATGCGTATCCCATCTTCCTTGGTAGCGGTCCTCCATAGTTTTAATATCCTGGTGAAATCTTTCACCTTGTTCTTCACTGGTGTCTCCTAAATTTTCAGGAAAACGATCTAAGTGACTGTGTAAATAGTGCACCTTAATACTCATATTACACCCAAGGAATTTGAATTTACCAGTTCAACATAATTTTCAGCTTTGCATTTGCCTAGAAAATTTCTGACAACTGCAACAAATGTAGTCCAGGCTTTCCGCTCAGCTTCATTCATCGAATTTACAAAGGCAAGATCGTCAAGTTGTCTTATTTGTGGGCTGTCGAATATTCCTGCTTTAATTTTTTCTATACTTAACTGAGGCATAAGAATTTTAGAAAGGCTTAGGTGGGGCATAGCACAAAAAAGGCTGGCAAACACTGATCTAGACACTGCATGGCTAGAACTTACAAACTTACCTCAACTCTAGTTGAAGCATTGAATGTCAATTTATTACCGAATGCTTACTTCATTTGGTGGATTTACCTGGAATTAACTGGACGGCAGACTAACAAAGGGGAAAATATACAGGAATCAATTCTTGCATATGTGATTTAGAACTGTACAAACTGGAATTAGAGCTGCACATTTCATGTAGCACTGTACATTAAAAAAACACAGATCTAAAAAAGTAGAGCTGATAGAGAAAAGCTGATTTCATATTGGATTCAGCAACCCAAATATAGCTAAAATCAGTTCTAAAATCCTAGGCACCAAAAAAAAAATTCTCTTTTGTAGGCTTGTGTAATGTATTGTTTGTAGTCATATTATAGACTAACAAAAAATGCTTTTTTTTTTTCAATAATTGCACTTCGCATATTGAAAAAATGGAAGCAAAACAATAAAATAGTTTCAAAAGCAAAATAGCTGCAAAAAAACAATTAATTGCACTTGCAGTTAATAAAAATAAAATACAAATGAGATAATAAATCAATTTTAATGATAATACAGGAGAAATTATAGAAACAATAATGCAATTTGTTAAATCTATTCTTAAAGTAAAAAGAAATTTAAATTATTTAATTAAATATTGATTTTTTTAAAAATTTGTGATATTTGGAAATATCTTTAGGATAACCTTCGGAAATGAGTATTTTTGTTCAAAAACATCTTATTAGTAACTTTAATAAAGTAGTTGGAATCTGGATTTTAAATTGCTACTGTAACATTTTCAGTATAGAGTTAGTCTGATGACTAGATAAAAACAATTTTTATAAGTATCAATATATCTTTAATTTTATAAGGATTGAACCATGGATACAATACTAAACTTTGATACCATGCATGTTTATGTTCAAATAATATAATTAATATATCAACATTTGATTTTTATAAGTTTTACTCTTTAATATTAAATATTTATTTACTAAAATAAGAATTTTTATCGTAAGATAACTGGATAATTTTTACTTTATTACAGATAAAGTAAGAGAATCCAGTGGAAGTGTCTTGGTGCATTGTTTGGCTGGGATATCAAGATCACCTACAATAGCTATTGCATATGTAATGCATCATTTACATTTGAACTCTGATGATGCCTATAGGTAATAATGGAAAAGTGTATTAATAGCATAAAAAATTTGAAAGTTATTATACTTATTCCATCTATAACTTTAATGTTCTAATAATTGTCATATATATTGTATAAAGTTTGATCCATTTATAAATTCTAACATTTTGAATTTCATTCTCATGTAATATATGCATATATTAAAATAATCATTTGATGTTAGTTTAAAACTATGTAGATCTGTTGTTCCCAAAGTGGTACTGCCATCCTCTGGGGAGCAATGACTAAATCTAGGGATGAAAAGAAGCAAGGGGATGGCAGGGGTGCTGGAGACAGGGTCCTGATCAAACACTGACCATAGGCAAGGGTTCAGGTCACTGACAATCTTTCCCTTTCCTCTGTTAAAACAGGAAAGAAGAAACATTTGCATTTAAGAGTGTGAGGTTTGTTGAAAAACTTTAAGAATATTTCCAAGCCTTTCTCATACAAGGGAAAACAGGTTGGGGGCATTTGATATAAGTATATGGAACCAACGGGGCATTGGTCTGAAAAAGCTTGAGAATCATTGATATAGATGAAAGATTCTTAAATTCTTTATTTATTTATTTTTATTTTGAGAGATATATACCAGGTTTTGTTCAAAGAAATTGGAGGAAAAAAAACATGTATCCAGATCCTGCAAGCCAAAACATGATAACTAATGCACAATAAAAATGACATTTAATTAAATAAAAGTTTTAAGTTTTTCTTATGTAAGTTTAAAAATATTTTTTGCTTTCCAAATTTGAGGCTTCAGTTACTACAAAGATTCAAATAGAACATAGATATAAGTGTTTTGAATTGGGAAGATGCAATTTACACTCTTATTATAACATTTAATTTCTTCATTAATAATCCTATTTATAAGATATGTAATGAGAAACACCTAATCCTAAAATTTAGACTTAAAAGAAAAAGAACTTACATCCGTTATCAATTTTTCAGTTGAAATTGTTTATCAGGATTATATTATGCAAGAATTCAGTTACTATGACCCATCATATCTAAGGAGGTATTTGGGACACAAAGTAATAGTATCATGCAATAATAGAATAAAGGAAATAATAATGCAGTCTGAGAAAAAAAAAGGTATTGTAGGAGGGACAGATATAAATACAAGAAAGTAGTCAGAGATTAGATGGGATTTTGTTTTCTTACTGAAAATTATGAGATTTGATTCAATTCTGTTTCTGTTTGACTTTGTCTATTACCATCTATATAAGCAAAATCATTAATGTTATCAACATTGGAGATCATCAAGACAAATTCATATTGTTATCAGTATAAAATCAACCTATTTCCTAAATTCCTAAATATCAGGAATAATTAACACATACACATGCACTCAATCACATTCTTGCTTTCTCACTCTTTCACACACATCATAATAGTGTTACGAGCATGTTAGAAATGTAATTATACAAAAATATAATATTGTTGAGGTTTAAATAGATTACCACTTGGTCTTGACCACAGCTAATATTACAGATGGAACAAAATTTGAATTTTTCTGAACTTATAGCAACAATATTGCTTAACAAAGTTTTTAATTTTTATGTTTTATTTAAATTGTGTTAATTTTGTTTTCTTACTTTTGAAATCATTTAATTACATCTGTTCTTTCCTAATTTTAAATCAAATGTAAAATTAGAAAGAACAGATTGATGTTTTTTAATCATCTCTTATATATTCACTCATATTTACATCTTCTGACATGTTGTAACAAGTCTTCCATATAACAATCCTGTGGCATTCATTTTCTAATTAAGGGACTTTGGACATGTTTTTAATATCCAAAGTCCCTTAATTAGGATTATTTACATTGGGGTTATTTTTAAATGGGCATTTACCCAATATTAGCAGTCACAAAGTCAGAAAATTTAATACCTTGCAACTTCAAATGAACTTCTTTTTTTACAAACTTTAAGATTGTCCTTTTTAGTTCCACAATAGTCTTTGCATAGTATTTTTAATCTGCCATTTGTTTTTACAAATTTGGGAAAAGTATCTGAGAAATTTTACAGACTTGTGTTATACCATAACTATTACATGATAAGAAGTGAAATTATTTGCCAAGTGAAATTGATTTTGAAATTGATGAAATTATTTGCCATGTGTCAATAAATTCACCAAGTCGTGACATTGAACCAAACAAAACTAAAGAAGTGAAACATTAAAATATAAGATGATTGAAAGAATGGAATTATAACTAGAATAAACTCACTTTTGTATTTGGATATTAAATTGATAAACAACAGGTGTATTTTCATCAAACTGATAATTATAAGTGTATATCAAGTTTATCAGGATATATAAAGCTTTACAATACTTAATTCTTTTGAATGTTGAAGATTTAAATTTTTGTAAAATTTAAAATCTTCAATATACTTAGCATGATTGGATTGAAAAAGACTTCAACACAGTTTAATTATTCAAATAATAATGATTGTGAGACAAAAATTAAATATTATCCATCATAATTTAATTATATTAATTAAATTATCAACAACCATGAGGCAGATAATAGTGAGGGCTTATCAGACCAATGATGGGCACAAACGCTCAGGAATCAAAGTGAAAACATTTAATAAACACAAAAATGACTACATAAGTATGGAAATGAAAAACCCAAAATGCATTTTGGACTATTTTTTGATAGAAAATAGTCCCTCATCAGTTGGTATTAACTAAAGATTTTAGTATATTTAAAAGTATACAAGATAAAGATAAACCTAAAAGCTATGCCTAAAGCTATACGATATAAAGATGAGCAGTAATCATTTTCAGTGTAGACAGATGTAATAAATCTTCATAATGTTGCAGGGTGGCATGACATACAGGGTGCTGAACAAAACAGTTATAAGTTAGCCAATTATTGGTTTACAGTTATGAACTAAAGTTATACAGACAGATTATGTAATACCAAAAACAGTAAGATGACAGAGTTGCAGGTGCTGGGAGTGGTAGTAAGGGAGGTGTGTAACAGTCTACATATGGTGCACAAGTGATGACAACATATGATATAATTAAGCCCTCATGGTTGTTGATAATTTAATTAATATAAGTATACTAAGGGCTAGAAGCAAACTTTTGTAATAATTTCATCATAATTTAACTTGAACATTTTAGAAAAGTAGCAGAATAAGTGTAATAAAAACAATGTCTCAATAAATAATCTCAAAATTAAAACATTTGGGGTCTTTTTAAGACTTTCTGCACTAATACTGGGGTAAGAAATTAGATTGAAAAGAAAATAACTTGATAACTATGTTATAGATTCAAAAGAATATGTGTTACAACTAGATTACTTTTTCTCAATTTTATGATGTAATTCATTCATTCTATTTTATTTTGTTTTCATTTCTATTATTAGATAATTTAAGAAAAAAGAATATAAAGTATTTTAACTTTGGTTTATTTTATTTTCAATAACTTGTTTCAAAATTTCCATTTTTCTTCCAGAAATATATGCTTTTTGGCATTAGAATCATTTGATATCTTTAATGAAGTTTATCAAAATTAATGTCTAACAGCATTGAAATTTTATTTATAGGAACTGTTTAAGCATTTAAAAAATTATTATTTTCTTATGTTTATAAAAAAATTTTATATTTAAAATTTATTTCCTAGATAATTAGATAATTATAATTATTATTATATAATTAATCTTAATATTTATTTTTAATATTTCTTTCTTTACTAACCAGGTATGTAAAAGCAAAGAGGCCTACCATATCTCCTAATTTTAATTTTCTTGGACAGTTATTAGAATATGAAAAGCAGTTATGTAGAGAGAAGATTTTGGCAGCAAATTGTGAATTAACTTCATGTCTTTCTGCAGGACAAAAACGATTGTGTTTAACAGATATGAGAAAAACTAGACTTTCTCTTAATATACCACTTTCATCTGGTAATACTGTTAAAAGTGCATCTGAGATTTTAAAACCTCATAGTGGTGATCAGTCTCCAACATCAGCTTTAGCAAAACTTAGTTTTGATGTATCAGAAAAAGAACATCAAACTGATTACAAACAATCTTCTTCATATAATTTAAAATGTTTGAAAAGTCACTCTGTTAATTGTAGTGATGATTGGATTAAAGAAAAGCAAAATTTTAAAATAGAATCTAGTAATAAAATGGCACAAGTAGATAACATTTCTTTGTTTCAAGATACATTTAACATAAATTCAATCAATTATAAAGAAGAATTCAAATGCAAGTATTTCAATGAAAATTCTGATACCTTGAACTGTTTTAATAATGATGAAAAAACTCATTTAGAAAGTGTAGATTGGACTTCAAAAGGTATTCCAATTTCTTCTCTAAAAGAACTCAATTTTACACCTTGCCAGACTTCTAATAATAATTCAGTTGATAATAGTCGTGAAAATACTCCAGATAGACTTTTGAATCCCATAGATCCTAATGTGATTTGTCCAAGAAACTTTGATTGTGAAAAATTAGAAAAGGTACATTTAAAAATAAGTAAATTTCCCTCTGTTGATGGAATAATCAAAGATCATAGAGGAATTAATTCTGATAAAATTTCAAATTCTAAATGGTATTTATTACATGCAAATTACAATGATGATAAAAATTCTGTTAGTTCTTACAATTTTTCTTTCAACAAAGATTATAATTGTTCTGATTCCTTAAACACATCTGGTATCGAAAGTAAAAATATTTATTTTCAAGATATTACAAGAGAGAGACATTATTCTAGTTTAGAAGAAGATTCTGAAAATTTATGCAATAATGATTTTACTAGAATGATTATGGATAATGTTGTTTTAAGGAAATCTCAAGAAGTGTTAAAATTTAATGAGAAGAGAACTCATGATAGTGGATATTATTCATTTACTGCTGAAGATGATGATCATGAATTAAAATCACAATTAAATATTCTAAGAAAAGGAATATTGCAAGACTATCATTCTGAAAGAAAATTTAATACTTCTCAAGGTATATATATTTTTACTTATTTTTTAACTTTAAAAGTTAATGATATTTTACTAAGTTTAGTGGTTCTTATTAACTATAGACAAATTGTCATGTCAAATCTATTTATTACTCCTAGCACTACCAATGTATTTTTTTGTGGCACATTGTAGGTGGGCATTTTGTGACCACCTTCAAGAAATAACTACATTTGGTGAAAGAAATATAAAATAACATCTGATTGAATGATAAACATTTTTGCAGCCAACAAAATGTTTACTTTTTAATTGTAATCAAAATCCAAACAATATTTTTGCTGTAATTCTAAAAAACTGCATGAAGCATCAGTGCACTACACAAGCAAATCAACAACTTTAATAAATGCACTGAAACATTCACAGTGACTCACATTCATTCTCAATAAGAAGCAACAACCTGATAAGTTCATAAAAGACAAAAAAAAAATAACCCCTTACAATACTGCTAGCTAGGAGTAATAAGTTAATGAAACATTACTAGTCTTCTACTATATGGGCTAGAATAACCATGGCATTCAAATTATGCTGTGATAAAGTATATCTTATCTTATCTTATAAAGTATGCATATGTCCAACATATTTAGCAATAATTATATTTTTCAGAATATTAACCAAACTTTAATAAAATAAATAATTATAATGTATCCTTCCTTTGTAGTGTAAGGGTGGTAATGTTAAATGTTAATTGCAACGTTTTATGAAGTGTTGTTAACTTCAGTAAAATGGTTCGTTATGCCAAACTTTTTTTATAAATATTGTGTAGAATGAAAAGTATCATTTTTAACATTTTATTTTTTAAGATTAAATGGAATAGACAATATTATGATAACTATTCACAAATTTAATTGTTGTGATTTAATTTTAGACACCAGTAGATTTGTTATACAGTGGTACCGCAGGATACGAAATTAATTCATTCCAAAATTGAGATTGTATCATGAAAATATCATAAGGTGAATCATTTTTCCCCATACGATTACATGTAAAACCAAATAATTGTTTCCAACACCAAAACACACTCAAATTAAAGCTAAGTAGTACATTAAAAAAAAAAGTATAGTAAGGAAAACACTGAAAAATGCGTTTTGTAGTTCTAAATATATAAATAACCATNTGGATATGCTTTATTTGCTTTTTATTTTATTATTATAAATTTCTGACATCTCAAGAATAATTTGGATAAATACTCTGATAGAAAACTTTTCTCCATTAGAATATTAAGAAGAAAATATATAAGCAAATAAGGAGAGTTGCAATGTAAATGTCATTACTTCGTTCAGAAAATGATAAAGCACCAAAGTTTTCTTTCTAAATGATCATTGTCCAAGTCTTAATTAAGGCAACTACTGCTAAACAACATATTAGTAGTACGAAATGCTATTTTATTTATAATTTATGTTTATTTAATTGTTTATAAGTCCAGACATTCACAAATTACATACATAAAAATACAGGAGAACACAGGAATCTAGTCTTTCTGTAAATATTTTCATTGCATAATGGATTCACCTTATACATCAATAAAATCTGGATTTCTCATTTTGTGTGTTTTAATTTTTTACAGCTCATTCGTTTTGAAATTTTCTTTGTTATCAGTTTATTGAATGATGATCGGATATTTTCTTTTATCGCTTCTATATTCTGGGTTCCAAGGTCTTATTTCAGCCTCCCTATTAACTTCATTTTTTAAACTTCTATTAACTTCTTTCTCATTTCTTATTTCCCTGCATCTTCTCTTAGACCTCTATTCCTATATAGAATTAAGGATTAGACTATATTTCAAAAAGCATAATATCTGGTAATGCCATTGGCCTTTACTTGTGCGAGATATTTATTGCTTTTCAATAAGTGGTATTGAAAATCAATATAACATTTGATGGTTTTTGTTTCTATTTATTTTTCACAATTTAAATAGCAGTAGTTTTTTGAAAATGAACAGACTGAACATTGTGATCTGTTGATCCTGACTTCCTGTATTAATTTTTGCGAGATATGATTTGAATTTTCTATACAAATGTCTTTTCTATTCAAAGCTATGTTTATTCCTTATCACGAAAAAGTGAAATTCAGAACTATTTCGATCGTTTATTAAAAGTAACATATTGCAGTCAGAAAAAAGTGCCACGACAGAAAAATTTGTTTTTGAATAAGGATTAAATATTTGTTATAAATTAATTAGCAGACAATGCCCTATCCGTCACCATCCGACCTTCCTATCATGGGCACGGCCGAACCCATGATTGGTATGGAATAAATGCCGCAGCAGAGCGGAGTCAAAAATGGAAGGAGTGAGCACGAGCTTAGTTGTTGAATTTTTTTTTAAAGTTTTCATTTATTTTAAAATAGAAGAATTAAAGTTGATTAGAACACTTAATGTATTTATTCTCATTTCCGTACAAGCCTTCAAGACTTAATATATTATTGTCACAGATGATATAGATCAATCATTGTGAGCTAGTTGATAGCGTACCTTTTTAGTGGCAAAAGCAACGAGTCCATGTCACATCAAAGATATTCCAACGAAGAGGGTCGTTGGAGATTGCATTTTTTAAATAAAAAAATATACAAATAATAAAAGTAGAGAGATAATTAGCGGTTTTAAATTTTGTCGCACCTCTGAAAAGCTGACAGCACACCGATTGAGAACCATTGATGAAAATTTACGCGAATGTCAACTAAATACAATCTTAGCCGAGACAAAAAATATTTTACTTTAATACATTAGACTTCTAAATGAACTTTGTTCAAAAATATTTCAAAAATTTAAATAGTCTGCATAAAATTGATTGCGAGCGCGAATATGCATTATAGTTCGATATAATATTATAGTAAAACCTCGATTTAACGGACTCTGCGAGAGAGAGTCCGTTAAAGCCAAAAGTCCGTCATATATAAAATAGGTTTTCCGAATTCGCGTTAAAAAATTGACAAATTAGTCTGTTTTTTCACTTATGTGCTCGCCGTAGTTCCGAGACTGTTGAAACAAGTTTACGGTCTGAATCAAAATAAATAAATAAATATNAAAATGTTTTTCATTTTCAATATCATGCTATCTTAATATTTTAAAAAAATTTTTTAATCTAAAAGAATTCAAATACTGATTTCAACTTATTTAGAGAACTAAAATACATTTGATTGATTTGGCAACCAAATGTTTTATATTATTTTTAGTTCACCAGTTTGTGGCAGTAGCATACCAGATCCAATGTAAAGAGAACCACATTTTTGCTTTTAATACTTAATAGATAAACATATATAAAAATTAGTAGTTAACTCCACAATTAAATTACTTTTCCTATATTTAACATATTTATTAACTTTCTTATTATGAATGGGGTTGGATCCCCTGTGTGTCTTCCTGGTTATACCAATGTCTGTGGGTTCAAGAACCACTTCTTTGCATGATGATTGTACTATAATTGTCAGATTTTAATGGAGATTGTTGTTTAGAGAACATTTCAAATCAATGTAGATTAAATAATAGATGTAAATTATTACTATTATTTTATTATTCATAATTAAAGATGATATACCAAAAAAGCTTCTGCATAAAGTATATTAATGTTATACTAGATAAGTGTTGGTACTTGATCAGAAAATTTTATTTCCTGAATAAAAGTGTAGAGTATTTTTTATAAGTTATATAAAAACCAGTCACATTTAAAATTGTTCTAGTAATTGATAAATTATATCATTAAGTATTGACACATTTTATATTTTATTCTTTTAAATAAGCTATAGGGATAATTATAAATTATTAATGTGCTGTTTTGGCATGTATGGAAATGACTCTTCTTCACATCATAATAATGGTAAGAAGGATGATCCTGCTTAAAGAATCATCATCAAAAATTTTATATAGTCTTTTTTAAAATGTTGATGGATAAAAAATATTTTGTAAATATAGTAAATAATAATTCATACCGGTATAAAAAGATATTTGACTGCTGACATAGTTTTGAGTCAGCTATTAAAAATTAAAAATACTGACTGACTAGCTGTTGATTCATGTAGCCAACTCATTTTGTTTACTTTTTTAAAATAGAAATTATTTTATTAATTGCACATGCATTACTTTCCTATAAATCAAGTGTGATAAATACATACATTTACCATACTTGATTTTGATTATACTTGATTATAATTTTTTAAATCAAACATATATTTAGTTTTTGAAATAAAATTGTATTATTTATATAATATTGTCATCACTTTATTTTAGATAGTTTGATAATTTAGCCAATACAGTTTATTAACTATGTAATTGATCTTTTCTAACATTATTTACCATGTTTAGTTGTCATTGACCAAATCCTTGTTTAGATTAGATTATTTTTCAAGTCTGGAGTAGTGAGTATCCAAAATAAGAATTTAGTTGGTAAAGACAGTAAACTAATTAAACTAAGGTTTAAAAATAATAATAATAAGTGTTCCACACAGTTGGCTGCTACATATTCTACACATGTACAAAATACATCCATCACTCATTGCATTCTTCCAAAACANAATTTTTATTCACTGCTTTTTGCTTTCTTTCCTTCACTTCCACCAGCACTTTCACTGGATAGAGGTCGCTTGGTAAAATATCGATCCAAAGAGGTTTGGCTTTGCCTACTTTTTAAAATGTTTCTAAAATGACTTAGGCAAATGTCATTACTCTGAGCAGCAATGTGGCTAGTGTGAACCTTTTTGGGATGTTTCTTTTCAATAAAATTTCAATAAAATCAGTCACTTTCTGATAATACCTCAAGATTTCCTTTATCGAGTGAGATCCTTCCACGACAAAGCAAACACACAGACTGAGACCGATGAACAGACGTGAAGAAAAAAATGGCACTGCGAACTAATGTAACGTCGTATGGTGAGTTTTTGTTTGTATCATGGAGCAAAAATATGTTCGAATTTCATATCGTATCTTGAAAATTTCATATGCTGGGGTGTTCATATCCTGAGGTACCACTGTAGTTCAAAAATCATTTTTGATGA